ACACACACACACACACACACACACACACACAAAGAGGGCGAGAAACAAAAGAGGGCTATGTCTTACTCGTTGTGTTTATCACTACCGCCAGATGAATTCTCCGTCTCAAGTGCAGCAAAAGCAGCCGCACACCACTCCAATGTTCGGTAGGCAATGCGCTTGAGCCCCAAACGGAGGACAATACCGAGTCTTCTATTGTTCGAAAGGGCACCTGCGTCCTCGGCGTCCTCATTGTGTACCCCCATTTGTGCGTCCGCCTCCAGCAAGCGCTCATCCTCCTCCAGCGACGTACCTGAAAGTTCAAGAATACAGTGGATTGTTTCGGATACAGTGTCAACGACCCGCCTCTCCGTGTCGGCGCCCACCATTGCAAACGGGCTGTTGCGCTCCATCATATCAAACTCCTCTGCCTCCGCCAGGTGCACGCGCAGAAGTGCGATGAGGGCAGCCGGAGGGCAGCCGTCGTAGCCAATCCAGCAACGCCCCACAAGATGCAGTCCATACTTCGCCACAAGCGAAGCTCTCCGCTCCTCCCAGACATCAGCAGTGTCGCTTTCGGGAACATTGAACGGAAAGGGCAGCTTATCATGCTCGTTGTCTTCAATCACAAAGCCGTAGAACTGAAGAAGCTCCCAGTTCTGCAAAGGACCGTAACTCATCCACAGTTCAAGCCCAACGTCCTCGGCAGTCAAGCTCGCCCCGACCTGCATGACAAAGTCTCCCCCGTCAGGCTCGACCTTCCGCACAAGCACATTGGAGCGATTGCCGTGATTAATCATGTCTGCCACGGGCACCAGCGCCAACACGACGCGCCCGTCAATGTTCAGGTTAAACGCGCGAGAGTCAAATGTTGCACGGGCCCACATCACCGTCTCAACAGTGAAGCAGCCCAAAAATTCATCCCTCTCAAGTGCACTACGTCCTTCGAGAGCCTCATAAATGAAGGGCAAGACGGCCTTAATTTCCTCATGAAACTGTACCAGCTGCGCACGCTTGGCCAAAACATCGTCCAGAATATCGAGGCCCTCCAGCTCAGCGAGGTCGTCCCAGTCCCAGAAGCCCGGAACAGTGGGGTACACGCTCGGGCACGACGCCAGGAGTTCACTCCAGTGCGATGTCGCTGCCACGTGACGCTCGTAGATAAGGGCGAGAACAAGCAGCGGCTCCTCACCATTCAGCATACTGGAGAGCTCGGCGGAGGACTGCACAGCCCGCCCCAACTCACTGTACTTCACGACTGTATCCACGAAGAACATGCGCTCGCGTGGAATGCGCAAAAGTTCTCCAAATGCAGGAAGCGGAGCGCTGCATACGAGTGAACCCTCTGCACCCTCTGCCGCGGGAACCACCATGTATGGGCAGTCCCCCGCCCTCTTTGCAGCGTCCCTCAGCTCCACACGAGGCAAGGTTGCAGTCATCGGCTTTAGTGCAGCGGTGAGATGTCGCTCAAGCTTCTCGCGCAGCTGTAACGCAACTTCTGCGTCGTCCATGCTGTCCACCCGTGCCCGCAATACCTTCACAGCCAACTGCTCGTTCCACTGGTCTACGGAATGTCTAAATGTGTCCGTGAATGAGGCGGAGAGGTGCTCCCACACTACACGCTGATCCGCAGCGATAATACGGCACATCCACAGAAGGCGACAAAAGTCTTCACATTCGCTCCCCTCAAGTGTGGTGCGATCCACCAAGAGTTGTTTGAGTTCCGCGCACTCGCTCGCCTCGAGCTCCACGCTGAACCAGTTCCACAGCCCAAGCCTCATCAGACCCACACCTACGGCTCACACGACGAAAAGGAAGCAAAGCGAACGAAAAAAAACAAAAAGGTCACAGCGGGGGAAGGGGGTGCAGGAGGAGTCACCGGGAATCATGCAGATTCAAGGGTTGTAGCAAGATGTGTCCCTTCGCAAGAAGAAGCGGAGGCAGTCACCACGAAGTGTTCATTTCCCTCGCTACATTGCCACTGTGGTCACTCCCAATCCGGAAAATGAAGACCACAGATCTGGTGGTAGCGCTCCTGCAAGTATTCATAGACATCAGGTCGTTGACGGCGACGTTCAGCATATTTGCTCTTGTCGTTATCCGACTGCTTCGCTGTCTTGCTGATCTCGTGCAGGATTGCCCAAACGAGCTTCCCTGATGCCCAATTGACCGCCCACATCGGTGCATGTGGCAACTTCGGGTCGACGTTTACGATAAATGAGACGCGACACTTCACCGGGCTCACGGCCTCCACCAAAAACCCACCGCATTGCATCTCGAGACGCACGCACGCGCTCGGCTCGGGCGGCCGCACTTCAGGTGGCATCGGGCCGTCTTCGCACAAACTGTGAGACACAACGACAACGCGTCTGTTCTCCGTGAGATCGTCCACGCCGTAGCCCTCCAGAAACATGTCGCGGTTGGCAAATGGCCAGGGCAGACGGATCGCCAAATGTGATGCCTTGTGGAAGCGAGTTACTTCCCCCTGCAGCGTTGCGTGAAAACAGAAAGGGAACCACTCAGAGTAGAGATCCAACTCCATCAGAACACCCATCACGCGCATCACGCTGCTTGGCACGTCGCCTATCACCTTGAAGAGGTGTGTATGCGTTGTTTCATCAAAGCGGTAAAACGTCCCGCTACCAGTGGCATCGATGGTGCTCACAGGCTGCCAGCTCTCCCTGTTGCAAATGTCGTCTAGGAGAGAGCGACAGCGCCGCACCTTCTCAGATGCCACGCGATACATCACCGACTGACGAATGAAGCCCATGAATAATTCAATACTGAGGGCGGACGGCAAAGCGACAACGGTGGTGCTGGCGGCGGCGTCGGGGTCCACAGAGTTGGCGGGCTCAACAGCTGCCTGAAGCAACGGTAAGAGCGGCGCTGGTGTCTCCGCACATTCTTTTAGTAGACCGTCAATGCATGCCAAAACGTCGAAATGCCGATCATTGGCAAAAAGTTCAAGAGCCTGCTCCAACACAACCCGTGCCCTTTCGCCAAGCTCCTTTGGAAGGAACAGCCGCAAATGGTGGTACAACTTCTCATCAATATGGTTGTGGACAGAAGCTGGCATCGCTGCCAGGCGCACCTGCGTGGCTGTGAAAGGGGGGAGGGGAGGGGAGTGGAAACCAAAATAAAACATGCAAAGAAAGAGAGAAAGGCAGAGAAAAGAGAGTCTCTAGGCGTGTGTCGTTGTGTGCATGTCACTGGCTGTTGTGCGTATGGAAGCGCAACACATGCGAAACGTTACCAACCTGATGAAAGGCTTAAAAGTGTCGTCCACCATCATTATGCCCCTTTTTTCCAATATATATGATGTGCTCTCCCTCCCCACCCAATGGACTTAAAAACAAGAATAACCATGCTGTTGATCTACTGCTTTGTTTCCTTGATGTGGCAATTCGCCATTCGCTCCAAGACGCCCAAAACCGCCGAGTTGTCCTTGTCACCCTCGCCGTTCTGGATCATTGACTGGAACAACTGCGCGTTGACAGCGGTGGTCGGCAGCGGAACCCCAAACTCCTTCGCGGAGTCCATCACGATGCCGAGGTCTTTACTCTGCAGGGCTGCCTTAAAGCCGGGTTCGCGGTTGCCCGAAAAGAGACGCGGCGGCTTCACATCGAGTGTCCAGCACTGCGCCGCCCCGCCCTTAACAGCCTCGATCACCTTTTCAGCGTCCACGCCACATTTCTCCGAAAAGACGAGCATCTCGCCCATTGCCACCATCTGCGCGGCGACCATGATCTGATTGGCCGCCTTGCACACCTGACCGGCACCGCTGTCACCGATGTGCGTAATCGTTTTGCCCATCGCCTGCAGGACCGGCATCACTTTGCGAAGTGCCTCCGCGTCGCCGCCCACCATGATGGTCAGTGTGCCATTTCGCGCGCCGATGTCACCACCGGAGACAGGCGCATCAAGGCATCGGACCTTCTTCTCATTCCACATTCGCTCCGCGATCTCCCTGGCGGTTGATGGCTTTATTGTGCTGTTGTCGATGAGGATAGAGCCTGAACGAATGCCGGCAGAAACACCGTCTTTGCCGAACATCACCTCGTACACATCCTTCGAATCCGAGACGTTTGTGATAACGACATCTGACTTGGCGGCAAGATCCGCCGGAGAGATGGCCGTCGCAGCGCCCTGTGCCACCAGCGTGTCCATCTTTGCCTTGGTACGGTTAAAGACCACCAGCGGGAAGCCAGCCTTGAGTATGTTCGCTGCCATCGAACTTCCCATTAGCCCGAGGCCAATGTAACCAACCTTCATCGACATCCTGCCTTTTTGCTTCTTTTGATGTGTGTAAAAAAAAAAAAACCTTAGTGATCCTTTTTTTTGGTTGTTGTTATGGGGAAGAGGGCGACGAGAGGAACACAAAGAGAGAAGACATGCATAGAGTCAGGCAGTTTGGAATCTCCCGTTCCAGGCTGAAGGAATGGGGAAGAACGGCTGAAGACACACAGTCTGCCACAAAGAAGGTCGGGGATAGTTATCATGAGAGCAGAAAGAACTCCCGTCGTGTGTCTTCATGCAATCCGTCAAAACACGCCACGGGTGGAATCTCCAGCAGCTCCTCGATGCCCGCCGACTTCAGAGAGGCCACCGTCCAAGCTTCATACTTGGACTGGAACACGTTATAGGCGATCCGACTAATCCTTGGTGCGAGGCCAAGCCTCGCTCGCACGTTGGACATGTGCATCGACAACTCCTTCGATGCCTGGAACACAAACACACGCACAGGAAGGGGTGTGCGCTGTGGGTTTAGCCGCTTCACCAAGCGTATGAACTGCATGCAGTCGTCATGCGAAGGGTTCGTATTGTCAATGACAAGACTTTTACCGGCCTTCCAGCAGCGCTCCGCTTCCAGTAGGCACTTCTCCTTCGTCTTCAGTGTATCGCGGTTGATGTGTGCGTAGCCTGCCGGTTTAAAGAAACGGTTAAAGAACGTTGTCTTGCCGCAGCCAGGGCAGCCCACAAACACCACCAACTCCTGAGACTCACGATCGAATGTCGCCGTTGTGGGCAGCTGCACGATGCTGCGGGTGCCGTCTGCGGTGGTGCGGGCAATCGGCAGCTTTTCGTATGAAGACGGCAGGGCTTTCAGCTCATTGGGTCCAACGCCGCCCCAATCAATCTCGCACGGTGGTGCAGTTCCCAACGCCAAGAGTTGACTGGAGAGACGCCAGTCAACATCACTTCCACCATGATGATGCTCATCGCCCTCAAGTAGCTCACCGGCGGGACAACGGTACAACTGCTCTGGCGTTAAAAATGGAACCCTGATATTGAAGGCAAACTTTCTGTCAGAACAACTGAAATCCTTCTTTCGCCCAGCGAGCGTAGGTGTTTTACGTCCCGCCGCGTCACCCGCGTAGAAGACAAACCCAGAAGGTCCCTCAGCTATCGTCACTTCCTTTGTCATGGCAGCACTTGCGTGCTCCTGGAGGAGTGTCCACATCCCCACGTTTGGCTTGCGCCACACGTCTTCCTTTGTGGAGATAAAAGCCGCTAGCGGTATGTTAAGCGCTTTGCTGACAGCAATGATCTTCTGCTTGATGGCCTCCGCTTTCTTTTCATTCCATCCCTTCCCCCCGATGCCGGACTGATTGCTCAGCACCACTAACATGAAGCCTTCGTCGTACAGAAGCCGCAGATGGCTCGGCACTACCGGCAAAAGCCACTTCCAGTCGCTGGGATCATCGCGCGGGAACACCGCCCCATTCCGTGGTACAATAAGCGTGTCATCCAAGTCGAACGCCGCCACCTTGAAGTACGAGCTCTCCCCGGCGACACCAACAAGAGAACGTCGCACTAGATCAACAGATGGTGGTAGCACCAAGACGGAGTTATGAAGCAACTTCCAATCGGAGAGTGAAGAGATCGGCAGAAGTTTTTTCTTGAGGATCTGTGGGGAGGTGCTCCTCGCGCGCTTCATCGTATTATGAATTACTCCTTCTGCACGAGGCGAAACAGACTGAAAGGAGTGGTCCCACACCTCGTGGGCGGTGAGTGCAATTTTGGTGTAGTGGTGGCGGTGGTGGTGATTGCAGTAAGGCTGATGCCGGATTCATCAAACATACAAACTCTCCTTCCGTCATTGTTTCTCTCTCCCTCTTCCTCTTTCTTTCTTTCCCTCTCACCCTGCACGTGTGTGTGTGTGTGTGTGTGTGTGTGTGTCTTTTGATCTTACTGTAAAGCCCGGAGCTCTTGCTGCAGCAGCTCCATCTTCTTAATGACACCAAACGTTGCCTTAAACACCTTCTTGAAGTCATCGGGGCTCATCGCGAGGAACACTGGCACATCAATCTCCTCCCGCTCCACAATGCTTGAGAGCGACGCCATCCCCCGCTTCTCGAGGTGGCGCTTCAGCAGCTGCATGCTGTCCGCCCCTTCCTGCTTCTCCCTCCTCCCCGCAACAGTGGCCGATGATGGTGATGATGATGATGATTTCGCCTCTACCGCTGCAGTCTGACGAGTGTCGTCTGAGGAAGTATCGGGGGAAAGTGTGGCACTGGCGTAAGCGAGAGAGCGCGACAGCCTGCTCAGGTAAAAGTTGCTCGCCCACTCCTTGTGAGCAGCTGCCACCGCCTCCTCCGTCTTCATCGCCGCCGTGTTGGTGAAGAGGATTTCCTTCATGATCTTGTCCTCCAGAACGCTGCTCCACCTCCCCATGTCGCGGGAGGTTTCGGCCGCCAAGCGACGGCCCAGGCGACTCCGCAGCTCCTCCAACTTCTGCGCACTTTGCTGCAGCCGCTCGAGGTACCCGTCGGCGCCGCCAGAGACCTCACCGTAACACGCCGTCAGCACGCGCTNCGCACTTTGCTGCAGCCGCTCGAGGTACCCGTCGGCGCCGCCAGAGACCTCACCGTAACACGCCGTCAGCACGCGCTGTGCCTCGGGAAACTTCGCCAGAGCTGTCGCAGCCACACGCGCCTGCTCGCGCGGCCGCCACACCTCCAGCAGCGGTGAGACGCCAGACTTGTGCGAGGCAAGAAAGTCTGGCAGCGGCAGCAGCGCTGCGACGTCCGCTTCGTGAACGACGAAGGGCAGCCACGAGAAGTGCACGCCAGCGGAGGGGCCCGCTAGCACCGCGTAGAAGGCAGGGTCGTACAGAAAGAGTGCGTACGACTCAAAGTGTTTCAGTTTGTTTTTGCGCTCGCGCCGCCACCTCTCCCGCGCCACCGTCAGGTCGCCGCTCGCCACGCGCAGCTGACGGTCCTCGCCAGCAACCGAGACCGTAGCCCCATCCTCCAGCGAGATGATGTTCCGTTGCGGCACGTCCGCAAAGGTGATCGACGCTTCGGCTAGGCGTGTGTCGTTGTCGCACATCGCCTTCCGCACGCCGGCGAAGAAATCACCGTCAGAGAGGAACGCGGCGGCCAATGGGCTGCACGCCACCTTCATCTGCGGCATGTGTGCAAGCAACTCCTTGACGGCGTGTGCGGCAAACGGGTGCAGCTCGGGAATGACGAGTGTCTCGATGCCATCGACGGGGATCGACGCGCCGCTTCGGGTCAATGCGGACCGCAGAGTGCTGTCTACGAAGTGCGCCGCCTGTGCCGCGTCGCGCGCGAACGGCAGGCCAATCAACGCGCTACGCGCCTGGCGGAACGCAACGTCGTCTCCGGACGTGGTGGAGAGCAAGTAGACGCCATTCGTGAGTGGGGGCTCACCCTCGACCGACGCGTCAACGAGCAGCGTTGTGTGTCTTTGACTCCGCTCGAAGTCACACGTCACGTACATCCCTGGTGGCGCGTGCCGCAAGTACGCAGGCGTCCTGCGAACGGCACCGATGAGTTTCGGCAGCGCCATCCGCCGCACTAAACCGAGCCGCAGCATTCACCACGAACTACCGCCGTTTCTCTCTCTCTCTCTCCCTGTGGGCGTGTGTGTGTGTGTGTGAAATGGAGAATGAGAGCAACCAAACAGAAGAAATACCAGAAACGGGAGCAAGAAACCAGGGAGACAATGCCTTGATACAAGTTTGTGTGCATGCATGTGTGTGCGTGTGGGTCACCAGCACTGGCGAGAGGTCAACAAAAAGATGGGCACGCAAATAGGGGGCGCGCTAATGACGGCACGAATGGCCTTTTTACCGCCTTCTCTGTTAAGTGCGAGACCCTCTTTTTTGCCGCTCTCCCAATGCACATACACCGCTGCTGCTGGAATCACTTACGCCACGGTTCCTTAGATGACTTAGCGTAGTAGCCGCCCATTGCGCCAAAGAAGACGCCAAGGACAGCACCAAACGTCGTGCCGCCTTCATTGCCGCCCTCAAAGACGACAAGTGCCCCACTCACCGTTGCTGCTGAAATAGTTGCAACGGCAATTGTCGGGCTTACCGGCGTCACAATGAGGTGGAAGATACCAAGAATCGTCATGCTGGTTGACAACGCCGCAACGGACCCAACAGCAATCTTGTCGGTGAAGCGGCGCTTCGATAGTTGCAGGGGTGAGAAGCAGTGGGCAGCAGCCGGAGTTAGCAGCCTGTGGCGCAACATCACAACAAGTTGATAGCTTTGGTTCTATAATAATAATAATAATAATAATAATAATAATAATTTCGAAGAGAAACGCACAGAAAGATCCCTATCAAACTGACAAAGAGAGAAAAAGGGCTCGGGTGAAACAAAAAAACAAAAAAACAGCGCCATCAGTAAACGGATGGTGAAAATGCAAGAAGAAAATGCTTCGTTATTCTGAAAATACGAGATTTGGCAATCCCGTGTCTTACACGAGTCTGTACTCCACTTAGCAGCAAGTGATTCGAAGACCTCCAAGCACGGACCTTCGCCTCTCAGACGAACGCGTCTCTTCACACTTTCACTCCCATTCTTTTTTTCGGCATTCCTAAATAAAGTGAATGCCATTCGTAGTGAAGCGGCAGAGGAGGTCCATGATACTCTCCTGGTCCAGCATCCGCGCCCGCTTATCGAATAAGGGATCTTGCATCACCGACTCTAAGTGCTCCTTAAATTCAGCAAGGCTCTTGACGTCCTTGGAACCCTCCATCTTCTGATAGCTGCAGTACTTCTTGTAAAGTGTCTGCACTGCGTTCTTGGTGCGGAAAATAGATGACACCTTCTTATTCTTTCTGTTGAAAATAAATTTGACGAGTCCGTCCCACTCCTCAAAGTCCACGTCCGGAGCAGGATGCTTCGGATCGAGTCGAATGACGCTCGACTCCACCTTCGGTGGCGGATTAAAGCTGTTCTTGCTGATCTTCATCAAGTGGCTGCAGCGCGCCAGGAGCTGGGAGTTGACCGAGAGGCGGCAGTACGCCTCGGTGCCTGGCTGCGCACAAACACGAAGGGCGAACTCCCGCTGGAACATTAGTACCGCGCACTTGAACGTTGGCTTCTTCAACAGCTTAAACACTAGGGCGGAGGAAATGGCGTACGGCACATTTGCCACACACTTGTCAAAGAAGGGGAACTCGTGCTCCAGGCAGTTTCCCCGCACCACTTGCAGCTTCGCCGCGAGCGGGGTATTCTGGAATCGCTTGTTGAGCTCGGCCACCATTCGCGGGTCCACCTCAAAGGCGATCACTTTCTTTGCTGTTTGCAGCAGCTTCTCAGTGAGGTTCCCTGTTCCGGGACCGATCTCCAGCACAACGTCAGTAGGCTTAATTGCCGCCTTCTCGACGATGGCGGCGATGACGAGCGGGTTCTTCAGAATATGCTGCCCGAAGCCCTTGTTGAAGACCATGCCGCTCTGGCTGCCGCCTGTCTTAAGGCCCACTGGTTCACTCTTCTTTGCCGCCTTGCGTGGGGCCGCCTTGCCCAAGGTGGTAACCTGCGTGGCGAACTTCAGCTTCTTGGAGACTGCGTGGATAGGCTCGGCGGTGATGACGCCCATCGGAACGCTGCGCTGCTCCTTCGGCATCGTGCACCGTTGCGCGTGCTCTACATGCAATGGAAGTAAAAGAGAGCAAAGAAAATAAGGTGCCACGCTGCAGGTTAGAGAGGTGCCGCATTGCATCTGTTCACCCGTTCCGCAGCTTGGAATATCATTGATATAGACACCTACAACACCCACACATACACACAACCAGAGAAAGACAGTGGAATATGTATATATATATATATATATGAGCATATACCAAATGGCCTACAACACCACCCAGGCGACGCCGTTACGACCACAGCGACCGCTCATGCCTGGGTCTGTGGGGACAACAGCTGTGGAGAAAAATCCCTCTGCATCAACTGCACTCGTCGGTGGAGTTGTCGGGGCCTCAAGCGACGGTGTGTCGTAGTATAACACTGAGGCTTTCCGCGGTGACTCTGGTACAGGCCACGAAGAATGAGCCACACGTGTGGCCGCGGCGGCAGCAGCGGTGATTGTGGCGATACTGGTGCCCTCCTTTGCGTTTTGAAGTGCAGAATTCCAGCAGCATTCCATGAATGATTGCTCCTCCCTGTTCTCCGATTGAGTGACCTCTGGAATGACATGGAATCTCGGGCAGCTGGGATCATCCAAAAACTTCTGCAAATAATTGATCGCATCTTGCACAGAAAGGCTCATCATTACTCACTCCGTGTTGTGGATTCAGACGCACACATACACAATCTCGGATCCTCTCACCTTTCACACCTAGGAGGAGAAGAGAAGCAGAGATGCATCTGCTGACCGTAGCACTTCGTCCCTCTTCCCCATAGATACCCCAAATCATAGTTGGGCTTCGCCAAGGAATGCGAAAGGAGTGGGATGATATAGGTATGTGAGGCTTCAGGTTTGGTGTCATGAGATTCACAGCACACGGAGGTATTCGGTAGGGTCAATTTAAGCATGCTGGCCTCCCACAGGGGTTTTCATCACTACGCAGTGTGTTCCGTGACAACTGCAACGTTTTCTGCTGCGTTTTCGTTTGAAGGTGGGCACTCCTCACTACTGTGGAGAAAAACAGGCCCGCCATCGCATTCATCATGGAGAAGAATTGGCAGGTTGGCACAGCGACCGTTCTGATCATGCAACACAGTCCCGTTGAAGACTTTCTCTTCAGGCGCAACCGTTCCGTTCGTCAACCCAACGGGCGGCGGTGTTGCGGTACGTGTCAACCTCGGTGTTCGGCATGTGAGGCACTTTGTCGCGTAGGCCTTGTTCATGTAAGTGCAGATGTGGCAAGACCATGTCGTCGGCTTCTGCCGCTGTGGTGACGCCTTTGTCGACCACTCATGAGGGGTAATAGGGATGATATCCTCTGGCCGAGGCTCGATGAACTTGACGGCCTTTCGCTCCACCTCGAGGGCGCGCATCAGCTTCCGGCCGGTGCGCCTCTCCACGACGCCGGCGAGCTGCGAGAGACTCTGCAGATCCCTATCGTCGGCGAACATGCGCGAGTATTCTAGAAGCGTCAGTCGTGCGAGGCGACGCACCCTTCGGTGGCCTATTCCCTCCGCCCGCGTGACGGCCAGATTAACTAACTTCTCATGGAGCGTAGCGTCACGCGCCATAGCTGTGTGAAAGGAGTAGCTGCAGGAGTCCACAAGCTTCTCTAGCAGTAACAAGTACGCGTACGACTGTTCGGCATTGGGATAGTTAAGGTTGTCACGCAGGACAGCCAAGACCTGAACCGGATGTTTTTCAGCTAACTCGAGGCACTCCGTCGACAGCTGCTTGGGGTGTGTGCTGGCGGCGGCAAGCATACGTGACACCTGAAGACGCAGCTTCGCGTCGGCGAATGTGCGTTTCAGAAAGTCCATTCCGCGCCACCTGATCTGCCCCTGATCAAGAGCAGTGTACGCACTACGCGCGTAACTTTACTTTCCGTACACGCAAGGAAAAGAAAAGAAATGTACATAGATATAGTAGCGTGGTTATGTGTGAGTGTGTTTGTGTATGAAAAGAAGCGGAGGCGGAAAGAAATATTCAAACAAAGCGTGAGTTCGCACGTGTAGACCCAACGCCAGCGCCTACAAAGAAACAAAAAAACAGTGAGGAACACCAGGGTGGCGACATACGATATATCCGGTGCCTCACCGCCTTCGCAGCATACGCTCTCTCCGCATTCTTTCCTCCGCCCTCTGCTGCACCAACGCGAGGAAGCCGTCCTGCACGCCTGTGTTGCAGCTCGACGCGTTGAGGGCGCTCGCGTTGGCGACCCACTCGCCCACCTCAATCACGTTGCTACCGGGACCAGCGCTACAGCTCGGCGTCAGCAGCAAGTCGCGTCGCAGGGCATAGTGCTCACGCACCGCGTTGACATGCGCCATCTCGTGCGGCGTCAAGTCCTGCTCGCTCACGCCAATCCAGCCGCGGTCGAGAATGCGGTCGAAGGCGACCCTCACTCGCTTCGCCCGCTCGCGCTCCAAGCCGTCCACAGGGGCAACCGCCGTCCACACGGTGTCGTCATTGTCGTCGCCGCGACATCCGTTATTTGCTCTAGGCCGCTCTGGTCGGAGGGCGTTAACAGTCAGCCGGCCCCCGGCGGTGCGCCCGCGACGCGCAGCAGCTGCGACGGCACAGCGCAGCAGGCCGGAGAAACCACCCTTTGAGAAAGGACGGCCGCCGGCAGGCGTTCTGTCGCCCATACAGCTCGCCTGCAGCCGCAGGACATGAAAACATACAAGAGGGGATGAGCGCAACCAAAAAAAAAGCAAAAAAAAAGGGGGGGACTAGTCACAAGAATAGCAGCAGCAACACTAATAGTGGCCTCAACATCACCCACATGCAAGACAGGAAAAAACAAACAAAGTGAAACACAAAATTGTTTTGGGAGTCACGCCATCAACACACTGTGCACTTGATTCATAGCCTTCTTCCCTTCTCTTCCTCATTGCGGCACCACGCAAGCCTCAGCATTCACTTTTGCTCAAACTCATATTTCGGGAGTGACTCTGCGTAAGGTACTTTGCGGCTACTATAGAGCGGCTGATCCACCTCTCCGTGCAGCTTCTGCAGCTCCGGGTGGAGGTACTCCGTGTAGCGCCGCACACACACATCATACAGCGTCATCATCAAGGCAGGTGGAACCGCATTCAGAATGGGCCGACTGGTGAAGAAGCCGTCGTAAATCTTTGTGATGCCGTGCCGTACCCGCACCTCCGCGATGTACGAACGAAACGTGTGCGGCTTACCGCGTGTAAACTGATTGCGCATGTACAGCTGGTGCCTTACAGACATGAAGGGATACTGCAGCACAAGCCCGAGGAACGCGCCGAAATGACAGTACAGGAACAGGAGGGCTGTGTGGTGATACACCCCGTCGTACCGCGTTGCATTGTAGACGCCGAACTGTGCACCGTACTGCATCATCCGCCCACACGCCGCCACCGTCACACCACGGTAGATGCCAAGCAGCACTGACGGCTTCTCACGTAGCGCCGTCAGAAGCACGTCCCGAGCACCACCAAACTTCTTGGGACCAACAGCCGCCTCCGCTGTCGCGCAGAGCACGTCATACGGGTGCCGCAGCGCCGTGTACGCGACGCCAGTGAGCCCACCAGCCGCAAGCCCCGCCGCTACGCCGCCCGCCCGCTTCAGCCACTCGCGCAGCCGTGTGAAGAGCGCGAGCAGCAGTATGTACTCCGCAGCGCTCCTGAGAATTGGCTGGCCCGTAAACCAGCGCATGCTAAACAGCGTGCGGAAGAAGTGCGCCCGCTTGTCCGAGGCGTAGATGCGGTTCGACTCCCCCGGCACATCGCTTAAAAAGTAGAACGCATCCAGCTTGACGATAGGGCGCTTCAAGCACGCCGAAGTGAGAGAGACACCTGCAATGACGGCGGCGTGCTGCGCGGGAGTGAGACACGGCTCCGTGTAGCCGTGGACCCGCACCTGTGGGTCCCTGAACTCCGCAGCGTGGCGAAACGCAAATGACGTGTGGTATCCCGCCGTGCTGCTCGACGCCTGCATTTGCCGCCTTTCACTAACGACAGGGAAGAGAGGGAAAACAGCAATTTGTTGCAGCGCGACCTGAGCTGTGTGCCACGGCGCGGAGGGGGGAGAGAAGCAGGCGGCGCGCCATAAAACAGAAAAAAAAAAACAAGCGGAACACACAGAAATTCCTGAAGGAAGTAATCACACAGAAGCCGGCTGGAGAAGTTAAACAAAAAAGAGAGCACAGGTGTTTTGGAGAGGAGAAAAAAAAATGGGTGACACCTGCGAAATAAACAACAAAAAAAAAAAGACAACATCATCGTGGAGGTGTTTTATTGAACAGCGTTAGTACTCAGGGAGAGGCACTCGGCAGAGGGGGCACACCATGCGCTCCCGCATCCAGTGGCGCAAACACGAAGCGTGATAGATGTGACCGCACGGAGCGCGCCACAACTCATCGCCGACCTCCTGCAAGTCAGCAAGCGACTCGCGGCAGATGGCGCATATCCCTTCTGCCACCTCGCTCAGAACATTGCATGATACACGGTAGTTATACCGGCAGGGTGTCATCCAACCCGGTAAAATGTATTTCCCTTTCGTCACCAGAAACAGAAAAAGCACACCCGTCTCGAGAGCAACAAGTGTTGCCCCAGCAAGCAGCCCTGATTGACTACGCGGCACAATTATCCATGGTTCGATTTGCACAAAGGAAGCAACGATCATCGGGACGATAGGCTGCAGCGCCGCCGTGAAAAGAAATGGGGCTGTAAAGCCCAGACACCCGTTAACCTCGGCAAAAGAGTGCAGCAACTGTGGCACCCAAAACAAAAGGGAAGCAACGATAACCACCACAGGATGAAGCACACTCTCCCCCATCTGAAGCCCAACAAATCCACCTGCCCACGTGCAGAGGCACACCCACAGAAGATTCTTAAGCATCTGGGCAGTTATGTGTTCATCAAGTGTCGTGGCAATATTGTATCCCCCCTGCAGAAGCAGGTAAAGCATCGCCAGCAACACGTGGATCATGAGCATTGCGAAGAGAAAAATTGAAGTTGCCTTCTGTTTGAAGGGTGACAGCATAAGCATGACAGTGACTGTGTGGAAATTATAGGATGACCACACGAGAAGCACGCGTAGCTGCACCGCACACATACGGAGCAAATGCCTCCGTGAGATGCATATCCAATGTATTTGATTGCCGATCCCATACAGAAATGGAAGCGCCTGTACAAACAGAAGAAAAATTGACATTGCGTTGATTCTGTTAATCAGGTAGGCGAAATGATTTCCACTCGATACGAAGTAAACCTTGTCCCCACAGGTTGATGCCATGCGTCCAGCCAAAGAGGCTGACTTCACTTCAACGTCAAGTAACCACAAACATGACCCGTCAAATACATGTTGAAAGTCTAATCCAGATGTGGTCGCTGCATCTCCACTAGCTAGAGCAGAATGGAGCCCACTGAAAGAGGGAGGGTTTCCCTTGAGGGCAGCACGTGTACGATACGCTGCAGAGAACAGTTCGAGAGCCTCATCCCCGTTGATTGCTTGATACAAATAACGATCGACGGTCAGCAGTTCGTCTGCTGTCCCGTTGGGGTATATCAACTGCTTCAAAAGCGAGGGCCTCACTTCCGACGTGCCGAATGCCCGCCACGGCATACCCGTTCTCAGCCTCAAAGATTCACCACAGAAGTACAGTGCAACAAAAGTTGACCGCGCGTTACGGTTGCTGTGAAGAAGCAGGTGTAACGCAATTCCCTCATAGTCTTCTAGAACCTCTATGGAGGCAACCAAAATGCCGTGTGCCGGATCACCTGCCGTCACATTGCTGTCAAGACCAAGTGGTTTCCACAAGAGGCCTTCAGACGCCCCGGCACAATAATTGCGACTCATAGTGGTTTCGTTGGTGGCGTTACCGGTGGTATTGATGTTGATATTATATTTTGCAATACAATCCTTGAGTTGTGCCTTATTCACATTGAGGTGTATTGGTGCAGTTTGGGGCGCCAGAGACCATGTCCCGAGGGATTCGAGTGGGAGCGGCAGACTCGCCCGCGTCTTCTCAAACACTGGAGAAGACGACAGACCGTCATTTAGTGACTCCAGTGGTGCCCCCAACGACCACGACGAGACACACGCAACAAACGCCAGCACCGCAACGCACATTGCCGACATTCACTTCTCTCATCTTCATGGGTCACAATAAAAGTAAAAGGAAGCAAAATCAGAGTTGAAGTAATAAGCCAATAGAGCCGAGAGACACATACAGTCACTTTTCTTGCTGTTGCTTTTGATTTTGTATTTCTTTGCTGCTGCCACGTGTAAGTGCAGCAGTCGGTCATCGTTGACTTCACGAGGACTCAGCTTTACGATACGAACTCAGCACCTCCTGCATGCGAAACCTCATGCTCACCATCCGCTCCTCCAGCAGCGCCAGCGTGAGGTCCTTCTCCATGCAGAGGCGCTCCTGCTGCTCCATGTTCTTTTTTTTTTTGCCTAAGCGTGGCATTTTCCTCCATGTAATCACTGATCGTCTTGCGTAAATGCGTCACCAATGGAGGTGGCACTGCTGACGTGCTGTCGGGATGCGCCAAAGCTCCGTCGAGCTCCATACGCGTCATGACCGGTGCAAACTCCGGCGCTTGTGCTTTGTCGAGCGTCTGCAGGTATGCCATGTCGTTTGCGTAGATGTCCGTGACCGTCTCGTTACCGGCGGAGGACGGACAAGCCCAGCTCCTCGTCAACCGCTGCGGCGTATGGTGCGACGGCGAAGCCAGGGAAAAACTACAGCCGATGTTGTTGATGCCGGAGTTACGTCCATTGATGGCAGCATTGTTGTTATTGTTGTTGTTGTTGATTGGCCGCAACTCCATCAAGTGCCTCAGCACGACTGGCGACCGTATTCGCAATGGGCGACGGCTGTGGCGGTGTCGAAAGGCTCCTCACCCCTCCACGCAGCTCCTGCATAGCCACGTGGTAGTTGCTCGCAAAGACGTCTGGTAGCGCCCAGCTCTTCCTTAGCCCACCGCAGTTCATAAAGAATATGCGACCCGTCGGGTGGTCCGTCTTTACGCGCCAGCAGTATAGCTGGTCCTCCAGCATTTACCCGCGTGGGATGTAACACACGCGGTCGCCTACGCGTGTCAGGACGAAGACAGTGCTGCCGCTGACAACACTCGCGGGCAAGGCACCAGGGGCGCTCAGCCTGGAGGAGGGCATGGCTGTCGCCCTCATCGCCTTTAAAGGAGGAAACACATATACACGCGCGGAAAAATGTATCAATGAAGAAAAAGAGAAGCACAGATATAAGAGAAAGAGGGGGAGGGCGGCGAAACAAAGCAACCAAGAAAAAAAAAAAGGACATGCGGCGGAGTCGTAATGTATAAGATTCGTGCAATTGCCACAACACAGCAAACCCCCACCTACAGAGAAAGAGAGAGAGAAATACACACTTTACCCCCTCGAAGTGAGTACACATCTGCGCAGCTCTATACGCAGCGCTGGAAACATTGGCAGTATCTAACAGCGACGACGGTATCGGTCGTCACCAAATCCACCGCTCATTCGCAAGGCACTGTCGTGTGATTTCGGCTCCCCTGGAGGCAAACAGCTCGTCAAAGTACTCTCTTACATCGCGCTCCGCGTTGATGAGCGGGCGGTCAAAGCGCCGGCCGGGTCCAAGCAGCCCAGGCGTCACAAAGAAGCTCTGCGGTGCTGTCCCGTCAGCGTCTCTCTGGAGCCCGAGGATGCCGATGAGGCGATCGAGCTCTGCCGGCTGCAGCACCTCAACGAGTGGCTCCGACAACGTCACGGTGCACGTCGGCATGCGGCTCGGGTCCTCCGACAGCGTGGTGGAGTAGACATTGTACCACGCGTCGAGCGCCATCGCGGTGAGTTCGCTCTTGACGCGGTCCGAAGAGTTTTCTTGCAGCTCTGTCATGCGACGCGAGCGGGCGGCGAGTGAGGCGGCCGACGCCTCTGCAGAGCTGCTGCGCTGGGTCGGCTCCGTGACCGCCGGCGCCGCCCGCGTGGCCGTCAA